AAGACCCCCCAAAATGGTATAGGTAATTGGTTAGGGCCAAAAACTACTGCTGGGCGAGCTCTGACACCTGAATAGCGGCAGTAATTCAAATCTCCAGCCATGCCAGGCATCGCGTGGCGGCAGACGTCGCTCCCTTTCGCTCAGTCGAGGATGTTTCCGAACAGAGGTAAGGCAACCCTAAACCCTAAACCCTGAACCCTGAACCATAAAACGGATTCAGGGCGACACCCTAAACCCTAAGCCTTCGGTGTCGACAGGAGCTGCAAGCTTCTGGACGATGACCATTGAGCTGCAGATTGTACCTGGTTCATGGTTGGGATAGGGTTTAGGGTTTAGGGTTTAGGGTTTAGGGTTTAGGGTTTTGGGTTTTGGTGTTCATGGCTGGGATAGTATTATGCATGTAAATGTCAATGCCTTGTTGGGTTTAAGTCGCCATAAAGGTGTAAAATGTTACCCACCTATGACAAAGGTGCCAGAAACAGCCAGATAGAATCCAATGATTATGATGCCGGCAGAACAGATGCGGAGCCATCGCTTCTCATTGGAGACCACCGACAAGACTCCAGGCAATATGAAGACACATTGTGTCGAGAGCAGGGCACCAGTTAAGTTCACGAGGTCCTGAAAAAGTGGCACCAGGTTTGCCACAAGACAACAAGCCAGCATGCATGTGGTAGTACACCCGAGCCATTTCACTCTCGCATTCGCTCCGGTGCCCAGCGCTGATGGCATGAAGTACAAACAGATAGCTCGGTTGAGCACCTGCTGCGAAATAGTGTAAGTGACGAGCAAGTGTACGACCATCAAAGCCCCACTGGTGCTCTTTCGCCAATCTGCTGGCAGGACGAGGAGGAGGTTACCAGGAGTGTTCTCGGCACAGGCCCGGAAAGCCAAGAGGCTGACCATGGTATAAACTGCAAAAAGCACGGAGAATGCTAGACAAACAGCTTTGGGAAACTCCGAGGATTCTCTCATCTCAACTTGCATCTCCAGCATGATATGCTGTCCAGCAAACGCGAACACAAACCCAGATATGGCAGAACTGTACTGCATGTAGCCTCCATCACTAGCGCTTCCATGCAGACAGACTGGTGCCGTCAGCAGGGTCCACAGACACAACATCAACGTTGCCAAAACCGTGGCGAAGGAAACCACACTCAACACCGACAAACCGGATAGGGTTCGAAACTGGTTCAGAGGCAGGAGGAGCAAAGCTCCGATTAAGCAAGCAGTCAAACGAGAAATGTTGAAGACGTAGAGACAAGACTGCACTGCGTCTCCAAGGACAATCATGTAATTCGCCATGGTCATGAAGATGTACGTATACAGCACGAAGTAGCCGTACATTCCGGTTCGTGGCCCGACGAGCACCGTCAAAGCATCGCCGAGCGTAACAACATGGGGAAGCCTCTCATGGACCTGCCAAAGAAGTAGAGCTGTGAAGAGGTTGAGTGGATAGCATGCAAGCAGCACGATAAGGCCAAAGACCAAGCCCACAGTGGCCATTTGACCGCCAAGAGCGAGGACTCCAGTTCCTAGAGTTTGAAGTAACCAGGGAGAAAACAGTATAGACGTTTATTTCATAATGGTTCCTTTAAGGAACAGGTCCCCGAAAAAAAGTATTAAAGTATGGTACTCCAAAGCCCAGGTTCCCACAACTTCAGCAATGATCAGGGCCGAGGTCGCTGTCCACGTCTGGACGTTACTCGGCTTGATGTCCAGGTTGTCCTCAGGGTTCAGTGTTTGGGCTAAACGGTTTAGGGGTTCAGGTGTTTAGGGTTTAGGCTGAACGGTTTAGGAGTTTCGGCTTTAGGCGTTTAGGGTTTAGGTTTAGGCAAACTCAAGGGCTTAAAAGTTCAGAGTTGAGGGGTTGAGGGTTTGGGGCGCATGGTCCTCAGAGAAGGCGCGCCCGGCAGGCAGATCATTTGTGAGAATCACCGAAGTGACCCCGGCCTTAGCTGTCCGGCTTAGGGTTTAGGGTTTAGGGTTTAGGGTTTAGGGTTTAGGGTTTAGGGAGCTAGACCTTTGGGAATATAGGGATTACAACAGGGACTAGATAGGGATGATACTGGAATTCTATAAGGGTTATATCGGATGGTTGTCTTATCTGTGTGCTTTTGAATCGCGATGAAAACACACAAGTCAGACTGTGATATTAAATTTCTAGTACCCCCAAAAAGGGCAAAAAACACCGACTCTAGTACCCCAAACCCTAAACCCTAAACCCTAAAACCCTAAAACCCTAAACTTACCCT